TGGGAGTCGGCAACGGACAGTACCGTCGACGTCGAAGCAGTGGCGCTATGGTTTCGCGGGGCGATGACGCAGATCTGTGACGCGTCCATGCCCCGTGTCCGCCAACGGTCCGCAAGGCACCAGGTGTACTGGTGGACCGCCGAGATCGCGCAATTGCGCATAGCGTGCGTTGCGGCCCGACGCCGGTACACCCGATACCGGAGACGGCGTCGACGGGATTCCGCCGAGGAGGACGCGCTGTATGGGGTGTACCGCGCGTCTAAGGAGACTCTGTGGCTGGCCATCGGCGACTCGAAGTCGCGTGCCAGGGAGGAGCTGCTGGGGTCCCTAGATCGGGATCCGTGGGGGGCGCCCCTACCGTTGGGTACGGGGCAAGTTGCGTTCCTGGGCGCCTCCACTAACGCAAACAATGCAACCCCAGTTGCTAGAGATGGTGGTATCAATTCTCTTCCCTGAACGAGTGGGACACGTTCCCCCCGGCGATGGCTTCGCCCTCAGCCACAGACTCTCCAGAGGAGGAGAGCACCGATGTCCCCAAGGTGACGCAAGCAGAGATGAGAGCGGCCATGGCGCGACTTCGGGCCAAGAACACAGCGCCCGGACCCGACGGAGTTCCTGGTCGAGCTCTCGTCCTGGCTCTGAAGGAGCTGGAGCCCCAGCTGAGGGGGCTCTTCACGGCATGTCTCGAGCAGGGTCAGCTTCCCAGTGTGTGGAAGGAGGGAAGGCTGGTCCTACTCAGGAAGGAGGGCGCCCCGCGGACTCACCGTCCGCGTACCGGGCCATAGTGCTGCTCGACGAGGCGGGCAAACTTCTTGAGCGTATCATCGCAGATCGCCTCGTCAGCCACTTGTGCAGAGTGGGGCCAGACCTGGACGAGAACCAGTTTGGTTTTCGTCGCGGGCGCTCCACCATAGACGCTATTACGCGCGTGAGGGCCCTGGCGGAGGAGACAGTATCCCGGGGTGGGGTGGTGCTGGCGGTGTCATTAGACATCTCCAACGCCTTCAACACCCTACCCTGGAGTTGTATTCGGGAGGCGCTTAATTACCATCGCGTGCCTCCCTACCTCCGCCGCACAATAGGGGCCTACCTTGAGGAGAGATGCGTCACGTATTGGGGACGTGACAGCGCTGGTCGACGCGTCATGTCGTGCGGTGTTCCGCAGGGATCGGTCTTGGGGCCGCTCCTGTGGAACATCGGCTACGACTGGGTGCTGAGAGGTGAGCTCCCGTCGGGCGCTGACTTGACCTGTTATGCGGACGACACGCTCGTCACTGCCACACACTGAAGCAGCGTTGGTTGCCACGGCTGCGGTTTCACAAGTGGTGAACCGCATCCGGTGCCTGGGCCTGGAGGTGGCCCTTAACAAGTCGGAGGCCATGGTGTTTCATGGCCTTCGACGCGCGCCGCCACCGGGATCGCACATCGTGGTCGGCGGGGCCCGGATAGCTGTCGAGTCCACCATGAAGTACCTGGGATTGGTGCTCGACAGCCGATGGGAATTTGGGCCCCACTTCCGGCGGCTGGCGCCCAAGCTGATGCGTGCAGCTGGCACACTTTCAACGCTGCTTCCCAACTTGGGGGGCCCGAGCGCTGCCTGTAGGCGGTTGTACGTGGGAATCGTGCGGTCCATGGCCCTGTATGGGGCCCCTGTATGGGCGATGGACATGACGGCCAGCACTCTCGCCATTCTGCGCAAACCGCAGAGGGCGATGGCCGTCAGAGTCACCCGCGGGTATCGCACGATTTCCTACGAGGCGGCTTGCGTCCTGGCCGGATCCCCGCCCTGGGACCTAGAGGCAAAAGTACTCGCGTCACTATATCGATGGCGCGAGGAAGAGCGGGGACCGGGCTCGAGGCCGGTGCAGCGACAGATCGCGCTGCGCCGAGAGGAGCTCCGTCAGGTCTTGGTGGCGGAATGGCGGCAAAGGCTTCTGCGCCCTACCGCCGGCCTCGCTATCGTCGAGGCGATCCGGCCAGTACTCGACGACTGGCTCGGGAGAAGGCACGGCTCCCTGTCGTTTAGGGTGACGCAGGTGCTGTCGGGGCACGGCTGCTTTGGCAAGTACCTGTGCCGCATAGACAGGGAGCCGGACGCTCGGTGCCACCACTGCGTCCATTGCGGGGAGGACACGGCGCAACACACGCTCGCCGAGTGTGTAGCTTGGGAGGAGCAGCGCCGTGTCCTCACAAATGTAGTAGGAGGCGATTTGTCGCTGTCGGCCTTGGTGCGGAGTATGGTCGGTAGCGCAGAATCGTGGGATGCAGTGGTGTCCTTCTGTGAGGACGTGATGTCGCAGAAGGAAACTGCGGAACGGGAGAGGGAGATCTCGACTCCCTTCCCTGGCCGCAGAAGGCGCACCGGGCGCAGGAGAAGGGCGGACAACGCCCTTTTCCAGCCCCCATGAATAAGTCCAGGGGCGAGGGACTAGGGGAAGCCCCCGCCCCCCTATTCGATGGACCCGAGGCGGAGGCACGCGTGGGTGTCGGCGCGTGCCTCTGAGGTGATACAGGGGTAGTTGAACACCTCACTACCCCGTGCAGGAGACGAGGCCCGTACAGACCGGGCCAACACTAGTGTGGGGCTGCGGAAGAATTTGGATTCCCGCGGCCCCGCGCGTGCACGTGCGAGGAGACACCGGGGTGGTTTTAGCCGGTAAGAGTCCGGCACACCCCTCCGCCTGTCCCCAGGCAGAGGCAGTCCATGAGGATTTCCCCCCCGTAAAAAAAAAAAAAAAGGTTAGGTTAGGTTAGGTTAGGTTAGGTTAGGTTCCCCCCCCCGAACGGGTTCCCGCCTTGTCGTGGCGGGGGGGGCTTAGTAGCCGTGGCTTGGTCTCCCACGGTGAACAAAGAGGAACCCACGTGGCTGGCCCGAGGTGAAGGGCCGGCCTGAGGTGGCCACTCCGAGTGCCTCCTCCTCCGGGAGCCCACTTCGGATGTGTGCTGGTGGACTGCTGCGAGTGGGGACTCCGCACCCTCTACCGCTGCAGCCGAGGTGGAGTCGCGGAGGAAGAGGAGTGTTGGTATGGCGATGCGCCACTCGCCCTATCCTCCGCGACTCAAACGGGGCCGCACCGTTGATGCGGTGGTGATGGGGCTGCGGGGGGAGAGGATTGTCGGTATTGCGAGGCGCCGCTCTCCCTATCCTCCGCAGCCGAATCTTGGTTGGCGGCGGAGCCATAGACCAGATCCGCCGCTGGGGTCGGGAAGGCTAGTACTTCTAAGTGCTTGTTTTTCCTGGCCCCATGGCCTTCGCGCATCGGACGCGGGGGCGTCTGTTGCGTGCAATTGGAGGCCGTGGAGGAAGGCGTGCCATGTGTTCTGGTGCGCCTTACTTGGGAAGGAGAACGGGGAGGAATATTCCTCTCCCGAGGAAGTGCTGCCATGGGGCGGCAGTCGCTGGTAGGGCCGCGGAAGTGTGCTGTGCGAAAGCGTTCCCGTAGCCCTGCCAATATGCGACGAAGGTGGAACACCATGGGGTTTTAGTCGGTGCGAGTCCGACATAACCTGTCCTTGCCCCCGCGAGGCGGGTATGCGTAGGCATTTCCCCATGTCAAAAAAAAAAAAGGTTAGGTTAGGTTAGGTTAGGTTAGGTTAGGTTAGGTTAGGTTTTTTTTTTTTTTTTTTCTTTATATATTTTCCCATGAGGAATTGCTATTGGTATACAATTCCTTATGGTACATGTCGCTTGTGAATTACAATTTGGTATATTTCAGTTGATAAAATTATTAATGTAAAACAATGGCAAATAAATAAATATTTCTTGTGATATTTAAAATAGTTCACATTTTAAACGTGATTCACTCATTTAAATTGTTAGTTACTCTGATTTCTCTGAGATGTAGCAAGTGCCAATTTATGTTGAGTTTACAAATGTATTATATTATACCTTTTACTCTAAATTTAAGCCTAGAATTATTTAACTAAACAAAATATCTTTTTATACTTTTAACACAAAAATAAGCCTAGAGCTATTTACAAAAGTATTATCTTTTTTTTTTTTTATACAAGCTTCCTTATGGTGTATGGATAACATTCGTATCAAGTGCTCTGAATGAACTTTAGCTTACAAATGTATTATTATACCTGTCACTAAAATTAAGCCTAGAGTTGTTTCACAGAACATACTTTACATTCTATACCTTATATACCTTATCCATAAAATTAAGTTACATTTATCTCTAAAATTATGCCTACAGTTTTTTTTTTTTTAATTACAAGTCCTTTTGGTGTATGGATAACATTATTTTGTTAAAGAAATGACACATTTTTTCCTTTTATACACTATGCTTTCCTTTGAGATGTATCAGGTGCTCTACATGAACTTTGGTTTACAAGTAACATTATTTTGTTATACAATGACAAATTTTTTCTTATATACAATATGCTTTTATTTGAGATGTATTACAAATAACATTTATACAATATGCTTTTATTTGAGACGTATCAAGTGCTCGGAATGAACTTTAGCTTACAAATGTATTATTATACCTATCACTAAAATTAAGCCTAGAGTTGTTTCACAGAAAATACTTTACATTCTATACCTTATATACCTTATCCCATGAGGAATTAGTTACATTGGTATCTCTACAATTTTATGCCTACAGTTTTTCGCTTTTTTACAAGTATTTTTGGTATATTTCAGTTGATATATTTTTTAATGTAAGTCAATGGCATATGGATAACATTTTTCTTGTGTTTTTTTAAAATAGTTCACATTTTTATACACTGATTTACAATTGTTTTACTCTATTTCTCTGAGATGTAGAAAGTGCCAATTTGATGATTTGAGTTTACAAATGTATATTGTATCCTTTTACTCTAAATTTAAGCCTAGAATTGTTTCACTGAACAAAATTTACTTTTTATACTTTTATCACAAAAGTTAAGCTTTTTTTTTCGCTTTTTTTTTTTTTTTTTTTTCAAATATATTATTATACCTTAATTACTAAAATGAAGCCTAGAGTTAATTAACTTTTTTTTTTTTTTTTTTTTCCCTACCTACTTCCATTGAGATTTTTAAGATTATTAACAATATGAGTGATGTGGTTTTTAAAGGATTCAACGCTGCTTTCCTTACTAATTATCTCAGTCATATCATACGGTTTAATTTTAAGCAGTGTGCATGCGATCTCATGATTTGCCCGAGTTCTACTGAATACAGGGCACCGCTGAACAAGATGTGCCATAGATTGAATACTGGATGAGTCGCATGGGCATTTGTCATCGTTTGTTATTTTAAAACGGTGTAAATACTCTTTGTGGTACCCATGATTGCTGAGGAACTGTGTCATTGCAAAGTTAGGCTTTAATAGTTGAGTAAATTTCGTAAGATCTTCATATGTTGGAAGCAAATATTTGGTGTAAATGGATTGGTTGTTTTGAGAATAAAATGATTTCATTTCAGCGGCTGTGCGTTGACTGTTTATATGTCTGATGTAGCTCATAGGAAATTGAGTGAAATCGTATGCACGGTGAGAAGTGGCAGCGCTTTTGGCGGCTAGATCTGCTGTTTCATTTCCAGGGATGCCCGAGTGTCCTTTTACCCAGAGGAGTTTAATACTAAGATTTTTAGTTTGACATTGGTGTAAGATTTTGTGGATTACCACGACGAGAGAGTTATAACTATTTGGATTGGCAATTTCCTGTAAACCGGATTTACTATCTGAGAAAATGTATGCGGGAGTGGTATTATTATCCAACACCCATCTACAGGATTTCATGATGGCAAGGAGTTCAGCTTGGAACACTGAGCAGGAGTGGTGTAATTTGAATTTCCGAATAAGTTGGCGTCCATCAGGCTTATATACGACCATCGCTGCACCCACCTTTTCATCGTGTTTGCTTCCATCCGTAAATATGCGATAACCATTTTGACTTTCGATGTTTTCAATGTCATTTGGGGATGATTCTTCACAGTATTTAATTGACTTTCGCAAAGATGGGTGCAAAAGCTTCTCGGGTTCGGCCGGTGTGTCCAGAGTGATGTCATTTGGGAGATATTGTGATTTCCGCGATATTCTTGTTAATTCGTTATCAGCCATTTCTGCTATTTTGGCAGGTAAAGGACTAAGTTGTGCAAGGGATATACTGGTTACAGTACTTACAGTTCGGAAACCCCGAATAATATTTATTGCGAATCCGCGCTGCAGGGAAAGTAGTTTATTGATTACGCATGTGTATTTAAGGGCTGACTGCCAGATAGAAGCTGCATAACAAATTATGGGTTGTATTACGTGTTTATAAATAATATCAATATTTTCTGCATGGATTCCCCAAGTAGGTTTGACGAATATTATGAGTTTGCTGTATAATTTGCGAGCTTTGTTTATTATATAATCAACATGTTTAATGAATTTTAGTTTCCTGTCTATAACGACTCCAAGGAGTTTGATTTCTCTGGAAAATTGTATTTTATGTCCTGACATATGAAGTTCACATCTAGCAGCCTTGTTGGAAAATGCGATGCACTGAGTTTTCGTAGCTCTAAAAGTGAGTTTCATGTTCCTTCCCCAGTTTGTGATCATGGCGAGAGCTTGATTAGTATTGTGTTGTAGGTTATTAATATTCTTATCATGCGATACAAGAAGGATGTCGTCCGCAAACGCTTGGATATTGCAATTCGGTGGCATTTTCATATCTAGGAGTTCATCCACTACGAGATTCCATAAAAATGGGCCGCATACCGAACCTTGTACGCACCCCCCTCGTTAAGATTTTACTCACTGAGCTATCACAAATATTAATTGTTGCTTTGCGACTTTGAAAATAACTGTGTAAAATTTTGTAAATATTTCGAGGACAATTAATTTTATGGAGTTTTCTATATATAGACGGCCACCAAGCATTATCGAACGCAGCTTTTATGTCAAGTGAAATAACCGTAACATGTTCCTTGTTATTTATGGCGTGAGAGATTTTATTAATCATATTACTGAGTGCATGGACAGTCGAGGTTTGTTCTCTGAATCCAAATTGGGCCGGGTTGAATAATTTATTGCAGTACATAAAATATGTAAGCCTACGTGTGATGAGTTTCTCTAATAGTTTGCCAAAGACGTTTATTAGACCAATAGGACGGAATGAAGATACATCTGTATATATTTCTTTATTAGGTTTGGGTATAATTTTTATAAACGCCTGCTTCCATATTTCGGGAAAGTAACCGAGTCTCAGACATTGGTTCATAACAGATGTGATTAAATGTGGAAAGGAATTTGCGAAGAGTAGGCAGATATCTGCAGTAAGATGATCGGTGCCGGGAGCCTTTTTGGGATTCATACTATTAAGGCATGATATGATCTCTTCGAATTCGAATAAGGGTTCATTCGGTGTATCCGGCATGGCCAAGGAAAAGTTCCTCATTTCCGTATGTTGTGGGGTATCATTCAAGTCATCGTCCGGATAAAATTGATTGAGAAGTTCTTGAGCTGTTTCTAAACTGGTGGTGGTAAATGTGCCGTTGCTCCTTTTCAGGGTGACTGGAGGTTGTATTGGAGGTCCAGATTTTATTATTCTATTAGTGACTGACCAGACATCTTCCTTGCCCTGTTTTTCACAGAAATCCCTGAAATGTCTAGTGGAAGTTTCTCTAAATGCTTTGGAGTATGCCTCTTTAAGTCGTGTTTTTTCTTCCAGCACGCTCTCTATAGGCCTTTTCTGACGAATAAGTTTTTGAATTTGATGGTGGTTACGAATTACATCCTTCTTGAGTTTTTCAAGTTCCTCCGTCCACCACGGGCAACGATAATTTTGGGCATTTGACTTTGAAATTAACTTGTCGCAGATTGTCTGTATAATAGAGGTAATATGGTTGATATACTTTTCTAATTCAATTTCATCCAAGCTTTCAATAACGACATTACGGGGCAAACGTTCTTCTATCATGCTTATGAATGGAGATCTTAGCTCATCCCAGTTGACTCTCTTTGTGTTATATCTGAATGTAGTGGTACTTTTACCGGAGTTGCTTCTTCTTCTTAGCGTACAGATTGAGAACACAATGGCCCTGTGTTGTGAGGAGGGACAAATGTCGATGTCAACTCTCCAGTCAAGTACCTGATCGTATATGGTGCTAGAGGCCATGGTGAGGTCTATGAATGAATGACGAATTTGACCATGCGAGATAGTTTCAAAAGTGGGAGTGTCTCCTTTGTTGCATAAAAACATATTGTTACCATATGCAATGTTTACTATTTTATTGCCACGTGAATTCGCACGGTCGCTGCCCCATATCGGATGCCAGCCGTTGAAATCACCACCCACCAACTGGTGGCTGTTGCATGTCATTTTTAGGAAGTTGTCTAACCGTTGTAAGGTATTGTCTTCATCGCTATTGGGTTCAATATAGACCGAAGCTATGTATAACCTTCGACCATTGATGTTGATCTGCACTACACTCATATTGGCGGATGAGAATTGGGAAAATCCCAGTATGGGTCCACAACTCGCTTTTGCTATAATGCATGCCTTGACTCTTTTTCCATTGGGAAACTGGAAGATGTTTATGCCAGGAATTGATTTGACGACATTGTCAGATCCAACATAAGGTTCTGCTACTAAAGCCATTTGGTATTGACCAGCCATAAAGGAAGTAATAAATTCATGTTGACTTTGTTTGGATCTGTCTAGATTACACTGTAGAACTTTGAAATTATTGGTTTGATCCATAATCGATGCGGTTTAGTATTTTTTCTCTCATGATTCGCAGTCTCGGGCAGTAAGTGGATGTGGCCTTATGTTTGGTCTCTAATTTTGTGTTAAATTTGCTGTTATGTCCTACGCAGTTAGTGCACTGTGCGCGCTCCGGATTGGCTGTGTGAGGACAGTTGAAAATATGGTGAGTGGTTTCGGAACAATATCCGCAAACTGTGTTCTCTGCAGTGCATTTATTTTTAGTGTGTCCAAATTGATAACATTTATGGCACTGCATAAATGGTGAGAATTCTTCAACATGAATACGCTGGTGGTCTATAGATAATCTTCCTATGTTAATGATTTTCCGCCAAAGATTTGGTTGAACTCTGAAAACCGCGTTGTATAGATTGGGGTTTTTATTCGTGCGTTTAAAACATAGTCTTAAGTCATCTTGTTGCGTGATAAGTTCAGTTAGGTCAGCATTCTGGAATTTAATGATATCGAGTAGCTCCTCAGATGCCGTGTCGACAGAGATTCCTTTAAGAATGATCATGGGCCTAAACTTTCTTGCCGGTTCAGCAGTCACATCCTTCGAATCGGAAAGGCGTTTCAAAGTTTCGTCTCGATCCTCTTCGCTATCAAACTCGACGCGAACTTTATTGTTAGATACAGCTTGGACGCGAGTCGGTGCATATTTCGAAGCGCGGAAACTTATGCTTTTACGCCAAACATTTATTGCTTCCTGTTTATTTTGAACTTCTGTTTTGGGGGTGACAATTATCGCTGGCTTGGTAATAGGTGGGGCTGCAGTTTGTTTGTTTTTTGTTGTAGATTGGTGAACGTTCGATGACGCAACTTCAGCATACGATGAGCGATTCTGGGCGGTATTGTTGATTGATTTCTTTAACTGATTAATCTCCTCTCTAACACTCGTGATTATGTCATTTTTTAGTTCCTCAGCAGGGTTGGAAATCGTGGAAGTAATGTTAGTAAGGACCAAATTAGCCCTCCGTATTTCCTCTGCCGCAATTGTAATCAGTCGTTTGTTTGCGGCCGTTACACTCTTAGCATCATTTACTGCACTTACAATGCATGTTGCTAACTTATTAACCACTTCGTTGTACTTGGAAATACTTGTGACTTCTTCCGCAGTCGCGGGCAAAATAGGTGATTCGTTACAACCAGGAGCCATTATAATAAAAGCACTAATTAAAGATAGAATAAAATAAAGAAAATACAATAAAAACGAAGTTAAGCAAGGATTTTAATTTCACTGTATTAGGTCATTAGTTCGATCACACTCAAATCTTCGACATAGGCAGGCAGGGGGGGCGGAGTGGTCTCACTAGTGGGATCCTTATGAGCCGTAGGGTCATCTTGCTAGTTAATTAGTCCTAGTTCTACAAAAAAATGTTTATATCGCGAAGAGGGCGTCACTGGTGGGGGGGGGGGGGGGGGGTTTCCTCCACTTCGAAAAATCACTGCACTGATGGTACTATCATGTTATAACGTTTCAGAGTAACAAAGTTCAAGCACACGGTAATTATTAGTTTTTACACATATAGAAGTAACAACTTAGGCCTAGGGGGTGGGGGGTGGGGGGGTTCTGGAGGTCCAACAGGTAATATATAATATATATTATACATAATATATATTATACATACCAATTTTACCTAGTTAGCTTAGCAATTTTGTAGTATTTTGCTATATTTATATTACATAATATATATTATATATACCCGCCAAAAATGACCTCAAAATTGGGCTATCTTGCACCGTTTGCGAGATAATTAGGTCTAAATGTAGAAAAATCGCACATTTTGGACGGAAAACTATTTTTTTAAAAAGGAAAACTTTTGCAACTTTTGAACTAATAAACGTAAAATTATGAAATTTTGAGGGTTTATAGTGTATGATGTGCGCTATCAATTGACACTAAGAGCAAAATTTTAGGAGTATCCCTTCTAAAGATATATAATTTTGAAAGTTAGAGTACCCTGACTAATAAGGGTAAAAAGTCAATTTATGATAAAACGGTGCGATTGCCGGAAAAACTGTTTATAATTTTGAGTTCACCTGTTGATTGTCCTTCGAAATGCAGTTTTGGAACCAGCCGCTCACTCCTGGTTTTCAAAATGGCCGACCACGTGGTTTATGGAAAACCGTTGGAAAATCGGTTTTTCCTGCACGGAAAATTCTCAAATTTGGTGAGCTCTTAGATGTTACTCGTGTTCACTTATTCCACTAATAAAAACTGTACAATACATGTCACTGATTGGGTGTAGGCCAGGAAATATACATTTTCAGTCACTTTTTTATAAATAACTTTTTTTCCTAAAGCCGCCGCTTTATGCGGTTTTCACTACGTTATAAAGCGTCAAAATCCGCGTCTTTTGATATATAGCACGTCACACTGACTTAAAATCACCGACCACGTGTATTTTGGAAAAATGTTAATATCTCAGGTTTTCCACATAGAAAAATTCTTTTTACAAAGTCGATCTATTTACAAACAATTTACACCACTGTATCAAAAGTTGCGTCAAATTCCGCAACTTTTGATGTATAACACTGTCACTGACACTGTTTCATAAAATTTTACCACAGTTACGAATTTTTATATGTGGAGCTCAAGCGTTTCGCTGCTTACGGGGCGGCGTTCGGCGCGGGACTGGTTAGGTTAGGTTAGGTTAGGTTAGGTTAGGTTAGGTTACACTTTTCCCAGAGGATCGGGCAAGTCCCTCAGGTCACATGTTACCGTCATGAGTGAAATGAGTGGAATGATGAGATGGGGGTGACCGTCGAGGAGCTAGATCGAGCCCTAAGCCGCTTGCGAGCTCGAAACACCGCACCGGGGCCTGACGGAATTCCGGGTCAGGCTCTAGTGCTGAGTCTGGCTGCCTTGGGGGACAGGCTTAGAAGGCTGTTCACCGGCTGCCTGCAGAGTGCCAAATTTCCCACAGTTTGGAAAGAGGCAAGTTTGGTCCTCTTGAAGAAGGAAGGCAGGGCCGCCAATTCTCCCTCTGCGTACCGTCCCATATGCCTGTTGGACGAGATTGGCAAATTGTTCGAAAGGATAGTTGCCACTCGGCTCAACAGACATCTGTCGCGCGTCGGTCCTGATTTGGCTGACAGCCAATTTGGATTCCGACGGGAGCGTTCCACCGTAGATGCCATTATGCGCGTCCGCTCCCTGTCGGAACAAGCAGTAGTCCAGGGTAGTGTGACGTTGGCAATAAGTCTCGATGTCGTCAACGCCTTTAACTCTTTACCCTGGGATGCAATCAAGAGGACACTAGTACATCACCAGGTGCCTGTCTATCTGCAAGTCATAATCGGGGATTACTTGCGCGACAGGTACATTCTGTACATGGGGCAAGATGGTAGGAAGATCCGGAGGGAGATCAAACGTGGGGTTCCGCAGGGCTCGGTGCTGGGTCCGCTATTGTGGAACCTCGCGTATGATGCGGTTCTGCGTGTCGACCTTCCTGCTGGCGTAAATATCGTGTGCTATGCCGATGACACACTGGTGGTCGCCAGCGGGGTCACATTCGAGGGGACCAAGGAGCTCGCCGAGCTTGCGACGGAAGTCGTCGTTGCTAAAATCCACGAGTTGGGTCTAGAAATAGCGCCTCATAAGACCGAGGCCATATGGTTTCACAAATTACCTCGGAGCAGGGAACCACCCGACTCGTGCGTCCGCGTGGGTGGGTCTGAAATCAGAGTGGGGCGATACATGAAGTACCTAGGGCTCTACCTGGACAGTCGCTGGGGCTTCGAAGAGCACTTTGAGCGCCTAGTTCCTCGGATCGAGAGGGTGGCGGGTGCTATGCACAGACTGCTGCCCAATCTAGGGGGGACCGAGGGAGGAAGTCCGCCGTCTCTATGCTGGGGTAGTGCGGTCCGTAGCCCTGTATGGGGCGCCTGTATGGGCGAAAAGGCTAGCCATCCGACGCTGTAGAACTAAAATCTACAGTGTCCAGCGGAGGATGGCCATACGGATCGTGCGAGGATACCGCACGATATCCTTTGAGGCGGCAACAGTCCTGGCTCGCTTCCCACCCCTAGATATACTGGCGGATATGGATGCGAGGGTGTATAACCGAATCCGCATCCACCGTCAGGGAGGTGAAAGTGAGCCAGATGAGGCGCTCAAGTCTCTAAAACGGCAGGAGCAACAGAAAGCTCTGGCCACATGGCGTACTCGACTTAACGAGGAGCGCTATGCACAAAAACGCGTCATTGGCGCTATCCTGCCGGTTTTCGAAGCCTGGATGCAGCGACGAGCAGGAAGACTCACCTACAGACTTACACAGATAATTACCGGGCACGGGTGCTTCGGCGATTATCTGTGTAAGATCGGACGCGAAGCGACGGCGAACTGCTTTCACTGTGGTGGGCTGGATCAGGATTCCGCGTCCCATACGCTTGCGGTTTGTCCAGCATGGGAACGGGAGCGGATCATCCTGGCAAGCCGGATCGGTCGGAACCTTTCTCTGCCAGCAGTCGTGTCGGCGATGCTGAGCGAGGATACGGCGTGGAGGGCCGTAGCCACCTTCTGTGAGTCCGTAATGGTCCAGAAGGAGGCTGCTGAGAGGGATCGGAGGAGGACAGATCCCGCTCAGAGACGACGCCGTCAAGGCGTTCATCACGGCCCTCCCCTTGAAGACGGTGATCCCCTACCAGAAACGGGGCCTCTGGGGTCGCAAGTATTTGGGGCGGGGGCTCCGAATGCCTAAAGATGTAACCCCTGAGGAGGACGATGGTTCGGAAGTGGTCCCGAAACATCGCCATAGCACTGCGAGGGTGCTGGGAGTAGTAAATACTGCCCCCGGGACGTTCTTTCAATAAAGCAAAGCGAGAGAGGGGCCCCGGTTGTGTTCCGAACGGAGATCCCGGGACCACTTTTACACGCTGATGGAGACCACCGTGGGGTTTTAGCCGGTAGGAGTCCGGCACAACCTTTTGGGTGCCCCCGCAGCCAAAGGTGTCCATGAGGATTTCCCCACGAAAAAAAAAAAAAAAAAAAAGGTTAGGTTAGGTTAGGTTAGGTTAGGTTAGGTTAGGTTAGGTTAGGTTAGGTTAGGTTAGGTTAGGTTAGGTTAGGTTAGGTTAGGTTTTTTTTTTCTTTTTTTTTTTTTATTACTTCTCATTTCATCTGCTGTTGTTTATTTTACAGCACCCTTGATATCTGTTTTTTTTTTTTTAACTTTTGGTTTCTTTCTCTTTTTTTTTTTTTTTTTTAATTTTTTTTTTTTTTTTAACTATTTAACATAAGTTATTTACAATATTCTGCCGTATCACCATAGTTCAATATTGATAGCAGCTATAAAATATCTCACAAATATTACTATATTAGAATCATGACTGGCTGTCTTGATTTTTTTTTTCTTTTTTTATTTTTTTTTTTTTTTGTTGTTACCTATGCTTATACAATAAGGTATTTTTACAGTTTATTCTGTTTTGCATATCAACTCTTTAACTTTTTTTTTTTAATACATTAATTACTTACTACTTTTACAATATTCTGTCTTTATTTACAATGAGCTATTAGATACATTCATCTATACCGCTAACTACTGCTAGTTTTCTATCTGCTAAAAAGTATACTAGCTATACTAAATGCTTCTATTGATAATACACGCTATTGCTACCAGTTTTAAAATAAGTTAAGTATTAAAGTTATGGTTATTACTAGCCTTACTATAGTTATTATCATCTACTGCTTCTAAGACTATGTATATCTAATACTACATCAAAAAAAAAATTTTTTTTTTCTTATGCTTTAATTATGTTAATATATTTTTGACCCATTTTCTTGTAGCACTTTTCTCAGACACCTTTCGGCGTATACAAAAAAATGAGTGCGACTGTCATTGTCGTTGACCGCCCTACACAGAGAGTCTTCTTTTATCGGAAAGCCCATACGGTGTTCGCAACAAATTCTTAAACTCGCAAATCTAGGGCACTCTATTAATAGATGTTCTATTGTTTGTGGTGTTACATGGTCGCATCCACAGTGTGGGCTCTGGGCTAATTTAAATTTGTGCAAATATGCATTGAGACCTCCGTGTCCTGTAAAAATTTGACATCTTAAGTTATTTATTGTAATCTTCTTTAATGTCGTATACGCCTGGTTCACGTTTGGAAAGAACTTTTTCGTGACTCTTCCGGTGTCTGATGAGGTGTATA